TGAATATTTCGCTTGACAGTTAGCATGCCGAAAGATGACTCAAAACTGCATGTATTCATGGTAGGTTTTAGAAAAAAAATGAACAAATATCCATTATCCTATATATAGACTTCGAATTCCACAGAGTAGGTCTTAAAACGTTTTGATTTTGTCCCAGTTAGTGAAACAAAACAAATCCAGGGGAAATTTGTCTAATATATGTAGAAACCCCCCCCCCCCCCCCCCCCCAAAAAAAAAAACAGGATTTTTCATCGCTTCCTTCCTTCATACAGTTTTGTACTTATCTAACAGTTACAATCGATACCAGGCGGTGTATTTCATAATACTTGTGTAAGCAGGCACGAACAAATCAAAAGAAATATTATTGCATGAATTCCATGCGTGTAAAAACTGTGAGTACTTTTCGGAATACACACTAACGAGATTGAGAAATAAGGGTAGAATGAAATTATAGAACTACCCTCTGTTATCTCTTGGTTTTGTTAATTATAGGTGAATTTACGAAAATTACAATGATCGTTAATATTTAGCAATAAACAAACGAAATATTACTGAATATAATTATTATTCAATTAAATGGGAGCTAATCTAGCCATGTTCTGCGAAAAACGCATACATTTGACTGATTTTATGTATTTTAGAAAAGTTAAGGTAGCTCTATATGTACCTTATACTTAAGTATAATCTTAGGCCTTTTCTTAGTTTAAGGGGTTTTAAAATATATTCAAAAGTTAAACTAAATTCCTTTTTTTTAGAATTTTTTCCGAATATTGGAAATCACTATTCCCACCAACCGCGGATCCAGTAATCTGAGTTTTTGAAAGAGTTGGCGCTAAAGATTTAGGTTTTATTTATAATTTTAAAACTTGTTTTTTCTTTTTTTTTTTTTTTTGCATTGCATTCATATTGTTTATGTTTTTTTAGTAATTTGAAGTTATTAATATACTAATAACAACGTTAACGCTACCAATGTGACGGCACCAGTACACTTTATCTAAAAAAATTTTGTTTTTTTGTTTCAAAATTCAATTTTTAGTCAGTTTTAATCACAAATTCCTTCAAGTTGATAAATGTGCTTCGGGGCATTTGTAACTCATTTATAGAAACTCTTTGTTTTGAACTGTAAGTAGGCCTAAACAATAGGATAATCCCCTATATGTACTAAGAAAATGACTCCATTCATTCTTCACAATTAAGAAACACGAAATCCTACAATTTCATTGGTCGAGAGCACTTTGCTATGTTCTAAATGAATAGTAGAATAATTACTATGAAAAGATCTTGAATAAAGTTCTACCAGATTTATGTTATAAGTCATTGGATACGCACGTCTTTTTTTTTTCTTTTTTTTTTTGTGGGATTGAAATGATATTTTATTTGTGTCTTAAGTGGTGTCGGGTTAGAGAAAAAACAAAACTAGTGTTTATGCATATATGTTAATGGATTATGTGTATTTTCGTTTGATAAATATTGGATGTAGATTCGTCTAAGAAAATGAAATGATACAACTAGAATTTCCAGGTATGTAACACTCTTGTCTATGTTATTTAACTAATAAGGGTGTGCTCGAATATTTGTTACATCGGAAACAAAATGTGATTCTATATTTTAAACCATTCTATTAGATGAAATAGAATTAAACAAGAAAACAGTGTTTCATTGGTTAATGTACTCATACCACATTTTCTTATTTCTAATAACCCTATTTTTTTTTCTTTCCTTTGCTCATAACAAAGAAAAAAACCCGACTTTATGCATTTGTTAGATGAGTCTTAAATAGCAACATACAAGCAAACTGAAAATATTTTTCATTCTTCTATTCTATCAGAAAGGAAGCAAAAAGTTTTAGAAAAAAAAACCCGCATGATTCAAAACATATCTGGATTTTTAACTCAAGTGGAAAACTCTTTTATTTTAAGATTAACGCCGTCATTTGCACTGCCGATATAACTGTTATGTTTGCCACTGGACACATATCCAGATAACAACATTGAACAAATACGATTATGTTACGCGTTTTAGTTGAAAATTTAATAAAACCCCGCCCATTATTTAATACAAATGGTATTCAAGTCTTATCCATACCCCTCAAATTCTATTCATAAGTACTATATTCAAATTCTGACAACGAAAATTTTTTAAAAATATACCGAATACGCCATCGTGACCATTTCAGTTTCTTAAACTATTTATTCTATTAAACCACAATAGTATTGTAGAAACTATCCGAGTAATTTTTCTGTTTTGAATGTATATATCTAAATGCAAAAACGATTTTTGATGTACAAAATCAAAATACAACATTTTAAATTTCAAGGAAATGATATCTTAAACGGTAAAATTAAAATCAAATCTTTAAGTGAAATACCATTTTCTCTAAATTTCATTATTGAATAATGTTAATGTGTTCAATGTTACAAAAGAATTCAACTGAGTGAACACATTTGATATTTTGTAGATGCACAGAAGAGGAATGGCACTCAATGGAAAATATTCATTTTTATCCGCTAAGATACTATCAGAAATTCAGCCAAGATCTCATCGGAAAACAAGTTGTCGACAGGGGCGGATTCAGGCGGGAGAGTGGTGGGCGTGTGCCCCCCCTTTAAATTTGCAAAGCATGGGTTGTCCTCCGCTTAATAAAGAATATTTCGATAATTTTACCTCCAAAAAATTTAAGTTTGCGCAACCCTAACCTAAAATCCTGGATCCGCCCCTGGTCGATAATGTTGTTGAATTTTAGTGATATAGTATACGATGGAATTACGACTCGCAAATAAAAGTTATTTGGTGTTCATTGTATTACTACGATCCCAATTTAAAAAAATCCGTTATCAGCTGTTCTTGATTAGATAAAAAAAAAAATCAATTACGCTTCATACAATCTAGTTTAGAACGCCACACAACCATTATTATAAACTGTATATATTACTATATAGTATATACCCTTTATGAGCCCTGGACACAATGTTTAAATATGTTAAATTAACATTGATTTGTATCCAGTCGTGCTGGTTTAGTGGTATGACTCGAGTGTCTATATGCTAAAGTTCTTGAACTCGATTCCCAGCATAGACACTAAATTTTCAACACAAATTTTGATAGTTAGTCTTTTCCATATAAATATTTATAAGTTTTAGTATAAATTTGACATTCCCGCCAAAATGTTACAGAACAAAGGAAAGCATGCAGAACAAAGAAACTCCAGATAGGATGATCTGGTAGGGGTGATCCGGCTCAGATCACCCCTCCATTCCTGAAAAATAATAGAGAGTTTGAACAAAAGATTTACGTCACAGGTGTATCTTAATTTGATGTAAGTATATCAAGTTCATGTTATGCAACGTTATGTAAATTTCAGACGGTGTGGGTATGATTCAACTTCTTCCTTTATCTACTCGTCCTTGAATGACTACCGTCTACCATTAGACAGCAATATGTATTCTTAAAGTAATGTCTTAATGAGATTTTGTAATAAGAGCCTTGTACAGAAATAGACTAATTGTCATTTTGTTTATTTTCTTTGGTTACATCTTCTGACATCAGACTCGGACTTCTCTTGAACTGAATTTTAATGTGCGTATTGTTATGCGTTTACTTTTCTACATTGGCTAGAGGTATAGGAGGGGGGTTGAGATCTCATAAACATGTTTAACCCCGCCGCATTTTTGCGCCTGTCCCAAGTCAGGAGCCTCTAGCCTTTGTTAGTCTTGTATTATTTTTAATTTTAGTTTCTTGTGTACAATTTGGAGTTTAGTATGGCGTTCATTATCACTGAACTAGTATACTAGTATATATTTGTTTAGGGGCCAGCTGAAGGACGCCTCCGGGTGCGGGAATTTCTCGCTGCATTGAAGACCTGTTGGTGACCTTCTGCTGTTGTCTGTTCTATGGTCGGGTTGTTGTCTCTTTGACACATTCCCCATTTCCATTCTCAATTTTAATACAGATAAACTTAAATCACCTCTAGTGAATCGAAATCACATGACTGCATTTAAAAGTTTTTTTTTCATAAAATATTCATGTAAATACTCTTTATGCATTACATAATTGCAACATATAAATCAATCGATTTGAACTTTATTTGGCCTTTTTATGTTTATTCATTCGAGCATTACTGGTGAAACTTTTGTAGGCGAAACGCTCGTCTGGCGTACATTTTAAGCCTGGTATCTATGATAAGTTTATTTGATGAATCTCAATGGTTTTAGTACAGAAATAATTTAAATGTAGATAAACTGAAAGAAAAATTCTTCACAATTTCGCTATAAAAATGCTCCAAAAGGGTAAACAGATCGAGGCTCACCATGTGGCAGCCGTAGAATAGTCGGAAGATCAACTTTGCTTTAGCAAATGACATTTGTACGGTCTGACCAAAAACATTTCCGCCTCGACTTCAAATGTATCGTATTTAACCCTAGGCGAACTGAACCGTTTTGGTGGGTAGTTGTTTCATTGGCAATCATACTACATCTCCTTATTTTTATATTATCTGAAAAAAATTGGGGTCAAAGTTCCAATCTTCTTTTGATCTATGTCACTGACTCATATAAGAATATCACCAAGACGATAAATAATTACGTCAATTTCTTGAAAACGTAGATATGTTTCCATGGCGTTTGAATAAAAAAAAAAACGAAAGTAAAATAGAATTCCTTTAAAAATATCAGAACTTTAAAGTTGTAAAGATCAGAGCACACAAAGGCATTCGGCGCTATTCTTCAATTACCGGAAATTACGCCCCCTTTTAAAAATCCTAGTTCGTCCCTGAAGGAAGACAAATAACATTTCCCTATCCATTGTTTGTTACTTTTCAACCCAGTGGTGGATCCCGGGAGCACCCCATCCCTTTTTTATCGCCATTTGTTTTTTTTTTTTTTAAATCCTGTTTGTCACAATATATTTAAATATTTGGTATAAAATCGGCGCTATTCTTCAATTACTCGAAATTACTCCCCCTTTTAAAAATCCTAGATCGTCCCTGAAACCTTTCGACATACCTTTGGATTACGGTAGTTTTTGTAAAGATGTCCATTGACATACAGTGGAATATTTTGATCTTCATTGTCATGTCTTTCTACTTCAAATGATTGGTGAAAATCATCATTCTGTATGGTGATATGCAACCTGTCAGGCAAGTCAATGTTTCGCTTATGTCTGTAGTGATTCGATGAAACTTCAATTTGGACTAGACCTGAAATCATGATTTTATATTTTTTACAAAAGTGTTGAAAATGATCAAGTTCACAATAATATTTTTATCTCTCTCATAAATTTGTGAGAAGGAAGGGACTTGCGGATATGTTATATCAGATAAAGCCACTACTGCATAGATAAGTAAATAAACGATTTATAGGCATTTATTTCAACATAAATAAATTAAAACCAACAACATTAATTGAATAAAAATGTTGTACCTGCGTGTCCTGATTGATTGATTGACAGATTGATTGATTGGTGTTTAACGCCACTATCAGCACTATTGTGCTATTTCTTGGCGTTCAGTGTTAATTAGTGGAGGAAGCGGGAGTACTTGGAGAGAATCACCAACACTCGGTAGGAAAACTGACATTCATAAAATTGAGAATGGAAATGGGGAATGTGTCAAAGAGACAACAACCCGACCATAGAGCATAAAACAGCCATAGGCCACCAATGGGTCTTCGTCCATTAAAATTGCAGTGGTGCGCACCTGTCACGTGCAGGATTCGAACAAACAACCTCAGTTTTGACAGGCTAGTGATACAGCAGATTGGTGGGGGGGTGAGAGGGAGGAAGAAATTTTTTTAAACGGCCATCCTGGCTTGGTAAGAACGAAAAACAAAATCTTACAACAAAATGCAGTTAAATAATTTGTACAAAACAAAGATAAATTAAATTTTCCCGCAAAAATAATAAGCGAGAATCGCAATAGGTGAAAATGAATATTCAGCCAGATAAAAATCTTCCTGCCCCTCTTTTTCCACAAATAACCCTTTTGAATTTAACCTAAAACAATTTAGTCTTTGTACCATATGAAGGTTATTCAAGAAGCACGTGATGTGCACCTTGAAATCGTGCGAATCGGTTAAACCAAAGAAAATAGAAAACAAAAGAGAATAAAAAATCATTATCTGGAATAAAAAAATATTATTTAACACCGTGATCCAAGATGCAAAAGAAATGACAACAGTGTTTCGCAAAACAGTAAACAGAAAAGTAATGCTTGAGCAGCACATATATCGGTACAACTGACTTACCAAGGAAAGGTAAGCACATCCTGTGACATGCGCAGTTCGAGGATAAGTTCATACTGGGTAAAGAAGAGGAAAGAAGGATGTGAAGTGATTACAATAAACGGAACATAATTATAATCGTATTTCACACTTCTATTCGATAACAGTCAACGGCTACTGTTAAAAAAACAAGGGAAATAACACCTTATAAATTGTATGCGTTTTACCGGATTTGTCATCACAAAATACGTTCAAAAGATTTGAAAGCCGATGATGAGCCCCTCATGGGGGTGTCCAAGTAATCACATAATCACAAATTTTTTGCCAATATAATCACATAATTATTAATCATTTTTTTAAACAAGATAATTAAATTATCAAAAATACAGTCCTAGATTTTTCAAATAACCAAATAAGCATGAAATATATGGTCTGGTAATCAAATAATCACTATAAAAACGGCCAAGTAATCACATAATCAAAAACCCATGAGGAGGCTCAATGATGTAACAGTATCGAAACACGTGAAGAGCTACAACTTTCTAATTAAGTTGTCATATAGCTAGTAAATTATATTAAACTCCATGTATGACCCCTGGTGGTAAGGGTTTTGTTTTTATATAGAATTGTTACATTAAGTGCTTTTTGGTGATTAGATAACGAAATTGAATTCAAATTCCTTTCCTTAAATTCTTGTGGTTGAATCAGAACGTTGCACATATGGGGGGAGCATGTCTTTTTTAAAATACTTTTATGAATTTATGAATTTTTGCAAGGTTTTTGGGGTCATTTCAGATGTTTTGTATTCTTGAGCAAGAAGCATGTCTTTTTTATGTTCAACCCTTCAATGAAGATTCGATTAAAAAGCATTCGAGTATGCATGAAATATTATACAATCAATATTCCCCATCATAAGCAATTATAATAAATAATAAATGTCTTATATCCAGTTCATTATAAGCAAATATAATTAGTTACATAACTGAATGTTGAACCAGGTGGCTGTAAATTTAGTTAAAATTATAATATGAACATTTTACCCTGCTTTACAAGTTTAATATATTTTCGATAAATTAACATTTTACCTAACACATGTACCTGAGAAAAAACAAACTTGACAATAGCTCAGACGAAGTACTTCATCACGATACTGTTTTGACAATACAGTGTATATATATATATATATATATATATATATAGATAGCGTAATCACCCTTCTTTATATGAATGAATAAATAAATAGTATATTAGAGTGCAACCTGAATATAAACAATATAATGTACATTGAGTATTAGCATAATGATTCAGCCAGCCAAATAGGCTTATGATGCACTATCATGATTTAACTTAATATATAACAGATATAAGAAAATTAGTTCCTTTTTTTTTAATGCAAAATGTTGCTTTTCCTAATCAAATAAAGGTTTCTATATTAACTTACCACGTGTTATGACTGGTATTGAAGAATGAAGCTGTAATGAACACGTATATGAAATAGACAACAGAAATATACATTCTCCAACATTCATCTTCGTATAAATGACAAATTTTCAACCCTCGATGAAATGTTCCATGCTTCATTTGATGGTGACCTTGAACTCCATTGTGTCAAGTGTACCGATTAATTTTAATATATTTAAAAAAAAAATTAAATGTGTTTCACAAAAATAAAGTTATCTAAATTCCCACCAGCGGTGATTACACTTTGATCAGGGGGAAGTACGATGAAGTGTGCTTTATAATGATATTAAAATGGTTGAATACTTTTAGATACCTTCTGAACGAAAGTGTTTTTAATAAATAGAACTGACGATAGTTGTAGCAGCGACATAAAAGAAAATTACTCAATTAGTATTTGAACTTCGTATAAACTAACAGTGATATAAAGTACATAAAATTACAAAAAATAACCGTTATTTTGTTGTCATTAACCATGTAAACAAGGACAGAGTGTATAGAAACAACTATCAAATTAGCTTGACCGCTAGTGACCACTAAACTTTAAGATCGAAGTATATACATCCGAGTAATAACAATTTTGCTTTATATGGCCTACAAATGTGTCATTAATCAATATGGGTCTGGATGGTGGGTCCTTTGTTTCTGTATTCTTCAATTTTTAAGCCCATTATTCTCTATTCTTTATATCTAAACATCTCATTATTCTTTATTCGTTATATCTTAACATCTCATCATTCTCTATTCTTTATATCTTAACATCTCATTATTCCCTGTTCGTTATATCTTAACATCTCATTATTCTTTATTCGTTATATCTTAACATCTCATTATTCTCTATTCTTTATATCTTAACATCTCACCATTCTCTATTCGTTATATCTTAGCATCTCACATCCAGACCCTCATCTATCAATTCACATAAAACATGATGGAAGTAGTGAATACGAGTAAGGATCATTCAAATAGATGGATTGATTGATTGACGATTGATAATGACGCGTTAGTAGTTTTCAAAAATTTTCCATCCAGCATTACGCATATTTCTGTTTCGACGAATTAGTAAAATTCAAATTATTGATTTTTATTTCCTTTTTAACTTCTAATAGAAATTTCTGGACTTGAAATAATACAATTTATTAGTTTTGAATATCAAAATATATTTCACGCTTTCATTATCTAATCCAATAAAAAAAAACATAATTAACTATAATTGTGAATTTTATATATTCCAATATGTTCTACATAAAAAAACACATCTGGGTCTGTCATTCTATCGAAGAGCAGATCTTTATATAACTATTTATTATTAAGGGGTGTAAATAAAAAATACCAATTGTGTGATCTCATAAGCATCTAGGGGTTACATTTAGAAGTGACGCAAAATGGAACAACCATGTTGAAAATACATTAAATAGTGTTAACAACATCTGAATATACTGCGAAAACTCAAATATCAACTTAGCCGACAAAATTTGGAAAATTATATCTAGTATTTATTAGACCAATTTTTGAATATGCAACTGAAGTATGGGACAATTGCGGAAAAAGTTATTCAATTAAATTAAAACAGCTACAACTTGAAGCTGCATGAATTGTAACAGGTTTGCCTGTTTTCACACACTCTGAGACTGTCTTAAAAGAGGTTGGTTGGGAAACATTAGAGGAACGAAGTAAAAGAAGAAAACTACAATTATTTTATAAAATTCAGAATAATAATGCCCCTGAATATTTTATGTAGCCTTGTGCCCCCTAAAATTCAAAGTACAACACAATATCCCTTGCGAAATGGACAAGATATCATTTTACCATTTTGCAGGCTGACACTGACTTCACAATCATTTATCCCATCAACAATTAAACTTTGGAATTATTTGAACATATCAGTTCGAAATGTAGACTCGTTATCAAAATTCAAAGTAGAATTAAAAAACCACGACATTCGAAATGAGAATCAATCTAAACATTATTTATATGGTCCAAGAAAATTGAATATAATATTAACCCAATTTAGATGTTCGGCATCTTTCTTGAATTGTGACTTGTTTAGAGCTAACATTATATCTGATCCAACATGTAAATGTGGTGTGGATATTGAGGGCATCCACCATTTTTACTTTGATTGTCCTTTCTATCTAAATGAAAGGGCTATTCTTTTTAATGGTCTCAGCTGTCGTTCTTTCTTCATCCCCTTTTCTTTTTTCAGTATAGTTTAGTAATATTTATATTTATATGATGCATGCTCATGTTCAATTTGTATTGTTATATATATTGTATTGTGGAAAAGACTTTATAAGTATGTTTTACTTGTGTCTGATCCTTTTTTGCTTTGAGCAAAAAGAATATGTTTAAACTTAAACTACTCATGGGAAAAGTGGTTGAAGCCAAATTTCAGAAGGAAAAAGAACCCTGGAAACCTACTTCATTTGGTTCCGCAAAGGTGAATAATGCAGTATATTTTTTTTATATAAAAGCTCAAATAGCGGAAAGTTGCATTGCAATTTTGTATGATAACAAAATGATTTTGTTTTGGGGGGGGGGATGCAGATTCAATGACTTTCAATTTTCCTTTCCAAATGATGTCTTATTGTCAGCGGTGAATATAGGGTAATATTGTTAAGGTTTGTTTTTAATTTATTTTTTTTTCAAACCACGAATTTGGTAAATGTGATTGATGATGTAACTTTCTTTAGTTTATTGCCTTCTAATCGATTCCACGAATTGTGCAAACAAGATTGTTAATGTAACTTTCTTTAGTGTTTTGCCTTTTAATTGACTTAATGCATGGTTGGTAGTATTTGAAGCTTTTCGTTTACGTAACCGAACATAATTGTCACCGAATGAACCAACATATACCTGTCAATAGAGTACCATGATCATGATGATTTAAGGAAATATAAATACATCAGACAACGATACAGCGTTTTGATTAAAAATGATTTTATTAAATAAAAACGTATATAAGTAAACATATAATAGATACAATGATTAAAGTTTGGTGCGCCAGACGCGCGTTTCGTCTATAAAAGATTCCTTGGTGACGCTTAAATCAAAACCGCCAAAGGGACAAATAAAGTACGAAGTTGAACAGCATTTAGGACCAAAACTTCCGAAAGATTTTGTCTAAAAAAAAAGCTTAGGTAGTCAATTCCTGGGGTAGAAAATCCTTAGTGTTTTGTAAAATTCAATGTTTTTTTTTTACAGTAAATTTATATTTCTGACCATATCAATGATAGTTCATGTCAACACGAAAGTGTTTACTACTTGGCTGGTGACACCCTCGGGGTATATTTGAAAAGTCCTTGTGAAGTGAGCAAAATGTCGTCCATCGAAGACGTACTTTCTTCAAAAAAATTAAATTACAATCTGATTCGGCACCATATTTGATTATCATTCTTAATATGCTGAAATTTGTCATTTTAGTTGGTAGCATACATTTACCAATGCAATTCAAATCTACAAAATGTCCAATTTAGTCATTATTTTAATTTGTATCAATAAAACAAAATAAAGAAGTTTGTCCTATATATTTAAAGTAAGTCATCACAATTCCATTTGAATCTATCATGTGGTACCCTTGAAGACGCATTTTCTTAATAAAAACTCTTATCTGAAACCTTTTTATTAATTTGGCACCAAATTCGGTCATAATCAACATCATGCTGACTTCGGAATATTTGATTGTGGTTGATAGCATACCGATGAAATTCAAATCTACTAGATGACATTTATGTATTAATGAAACAAAATAGTCTTGCCATTCTGAAGAACTGAATAATTTTTAGGCTTGTCAAGGTTATTTGTATTGCCATAATGCTCTAGATACAAATATGCGTAAAAGGAGATCATGATCATTGATATAGTAACACAAGGACATGAAAGGTCAACTTACAATCTAGCAATACACAGGTTTTATATACTACAATATGTCAGACGAGGCCCCTGGCGGGAATAAACAAGTTCTTAGGTGGTTATCTTATTTGTTAGATCTGAACTGTCTCTCTGTGAATCTCAAGATATTTTGTATAAGCCATATTTAAATATTGTGTTTGACCTATCGCCAGGAAGTGAACACATACATATGCATTTTTACGGGTAAACTGATACCGGAATAAATGTGTTTTGTAAGTACTGAACCTCCTGCTTATTATTTTGTTAAGTACAATTACAGAAGGTGCTGAGAATACAAATTATAAAACTAGTCAAGACAATGAGATCATTAGCTAGCATTATGATATTGATACTACAGAGTGAGATTTCATTGGCTAGTGATATTGATACTACAGACTGAAATTTCACTGGCTAGTAATATTGATACTACAGACTTAGATTTCACTGGCTTGTAATATTGATACTACAGACTTAGATTTCATTGGCTTGTAATATTGATACTACAGACTAAGATTCATTGGCTAGTAATATTGATACTACAGACTGAGATTTCACTGGCTAGTAATATTGATACTACAGACTGAGATTTCACTGGCTAGTAATATTGATACTACAGACTGAGATTCCACTTGCTAGTAATATTGATACTACAGACTTAGATTTCATTGGCTTGTAATATTGATGCTACAGACATATATTTCATTGGCTAGTAATATTGATACTACAGACTGAGATTTCATTGGCTAGTAATATTGATACTACAGACTGAGATTTCACTGGCTAGTCATATTGATACTACATACTGAGATTTCACTGGCTAGTAATATTGGTACTACAGCCTGAAATTTCAATGGCTAGTCATATTGATAGTACAGACTGAGATTTTATTAGCTAGTAATATTGATACTACTGACTGAGATTTCACTGGCTAGTAATATTGATACTACAGACTGAGATTTCTCTGGCTAGTAATATTGATACTACAGACTGAGATTTCACTGGCTAGTAATATTGATACTACAGACTGAGATTTCTCTGGCTAGTAATATTGATACTACAGACTGAGATTTCACTGGCTAGTAATATTGATACTACAGACTGAGATTTCTCTGGCTAGTAATATTGATACTACAGACTGAGATTTCACTGGCTAGTTATATTGATACTACAGACTGAGATTTCACTGGCTAGTCGTATTGATACTACAGACTGAGATTTCACTGGCTAGTAATATTGGTACTACAGACTGAAATTTCACTGGCTAGTAATATTGA